TTAGTACTAAAGAACCCTTAATGAACCTTTTTTTTGTAGGCTTTTGTTGTTACCTTGACCTATGACCTTTATAGCCTTGTTGTTCCGTGACCTGATCTTGTTTAGTAGGCTTTAAAGTTTTTTACCTGTGACCTGATACCTTTAGTAGGCTTAAGTTGTTACCTGTGACCTGATTACCTTTAGTAGCTGTTGTTACCTGTGACCTGATGACCTTGTTTAGTAGGCTTATGTTGTTACCTGTGACCTGATGACCTTTAGTAGGCTATGTTGTTACCTGTGACCTGATGACCTTTAGTAGGCTTATGTTGTTACCTGTGACCTGATGACCTTTAGTAGGCTTATGTTGTTATCTGTGACCTGATGACCTTCTTTAGTAGGCTTATGTTGTTACCTGTGACCTGATGACGTTCTTTAGTAGGCTTATGTTACCTATGACCTGATGACCTTTAGTAGGCTTATGTTGTTACCTGTGACCTGATGACCTTCTTTAGTAGGCTTTTGTTTCGTCTTGTGACCTGATGACCTTGTTTAGGAGGCTTTTGTCACTACCTGTGACCTGATGTCTTCATCACTGCAGAGATATGTTGCCTTTGTTCCCGCCCATGATAGTGGGCGAAGCTGTGTGCTAGGCTGTCGACGTGGCTGTGGTCGTACCTGTGTTCTTGGTTGTGGTCGTACCTGTGTTCTTGGCTGTGGTCGTACCTGTGTTCTTGGTTGTGGTCGTACCTGTGTTTCTTGGCTGTGGTCGTACCTGTGTTCTTGGCTGTGGTCGTACCTGTGCTTGACTGTGGTCGTACCTGTGTGCTTGGCTGTGGTCGTACCTGTGTTCTTGGCTGTGGTCGTACCTGTGTTCTTGGCTGTGGTCGGACCTGTGTTTCTTGCTGTGGTCGTACCTGTGTTCTTGGCTGTGTCGTACCCGTGTTCTTGGCTGTGGTCGTACCCGTGTCTTGGCTGTGGTCGTACCCGTGTTCTTGCTGTGGTCGTACCTGTGTTCTTGGCTGTGGTCGTACCTGTGTTCTTGGCTGTGGTCGTACCCGTGTTCTTGGCTGTGGTCGTACCCGTGTTCTTGGCTGTGGTCGTACCTGTGTTCTTGGCTGTGGTCGTACCTGTGTTCTTGGCTGTGGTCGTACCTGTGTTCTTGACTGTGGTCGTACCTGTGTGCTTGGCTGTGGTCGTACCTGTGTTTCTTGGCTGTGGTCGTACCTGTGTTCTTGGCTGTGGTCGTATCCTGTGTGTTCTTGGCTGTGGTCGTACCTGTGTTCTTGGCTGTGGTCGTACCTGTGTTCTTGGCTGTGGTCATACCTGTGTTCTTGCCTGTGATCGTACCTGTGTTCTTGCCTGTGGTCGTACCTGTGCTCTTGGCTGTGGTCGTACCTGTGCTCTTGCTGTGTCGTACCTGTGCTCTTGGCTGTGGTCGTACCTGTGTTCTTGGCTGTGGTCGTACCTGTGTTCTTGGGCTGTGGTCGTACCTGTGTTTCTTGCTGTGGCGAAACCTGTGCTCTGCTGTGGTCGTCCTGTGTTCTTGGCTGTGGTCGTACCTGTGTCTTGCCTTTTGATCGTCCTGTGTTTTGCCTGTTGGTCGTACCGGGTGTCTTGCCTGTGATCGTACCTGTGTTCTTGCCTGGGGATCGTACCTGTGTTCTTGCCTGTGTCGTACCTTTTGTTTCTTGGCTGTGGTCGTACGTGTTGTGGCTGTACTTACCACTTGTGCTTGCTTGGGTTAACCCCCCGTCCCTGGGCGTGTCCCGGGGCGTGTCCCTGGGCGTGTCCCTGGGCGTGCCCCCTGGGCGTGTCCCTTTGCGTTTTCCCTTTGCGTTCCCGGGGCGTGTCCCGGGGCGTGTCCCTGGGCGCGTCCCTGGCCGTGTTTCTGGGAATTTTAACTACTATAAGCAGGAAAAACTCAGTATTTACCTACAATAGATTTATCAACTTGCATAAGCTACAAATCCCACAACTTCACTATTAATACCACAAACTCACACGTAAGTCAGTTAGAGGATTTAAAATATACAATAAACCCGCTTCAGAAGGGTTTCAGAAGTCCTTAAATCTGAATTCAGTAGGAAATTGGGAGCCGAAATTCTCAGTATAACGTTTAGCAATTTCCCCCTCGACTATATATAGCCGTGCGTGGCGGTAGACTAGGCGTAATTTTACGGGCTACTGATCTGAAGATAGTCCCGCAGTGAGATAGTCCCCGGCAGTGAATATCCCGGCACTGAGATAGTTCCCGGGAGTGAATAGTCCCGCAGTGAGAAAAGTTCCGGCAGTGAGATAGTCCCGGCAGTGAGATAGTCCCGGCAGTGAGATAGTCCCGGCAGGGGATAGTCCCGGGAGTGAAAAGTCCCCGGCCCCGTGAGATAGTTCCCCGGGACTGAATAGTCCCGGCACTGGAAAGTCCCGGCACTGAGATAGTTCCGGCAGTGAGATATTTCTGGCATGAGATAGTCCCGGCACTGAGATAGTCCCGGCACGAGATAGTCCCGGCACTGAATAGTTCCGGCAGTGAGATAGTCCCGGCAGTGAGATAAATCCCGCACTGGAAGTCCCGGCAGTGAGATAGTCCCGGCACTGAGATAGTCCCGCAGTGAGATAGTCCCGCACTGAGATAGTCCCGGCATGAGATAGTCCGGGAGTGGGGATAGTTCTGGCAGTGAGAAAAGTCCCGGGACTGAGATATCCCGGGATGAGATAGTCCCGGCATGAGATAGTCCCGGCAGTGAGATAGTTCTGGCAGTGAGATAGTCCCGGCCGGGGATTGTCCCGGCAGTGAATAGTTCCGGGAGTGAATAGGTCCCGGCAGTGAGATAGTTTCCGCATGAGATAGTCCCGCAGTGAGATAGTTCCGGGAGTGAGATAGTCCCGCAGTGAGATAGTTCCGGCAGTGAGATATCCCGGCAGTGAGATAGTTCTGGCAGTGAGATAGTCCCCGGCAGTGAGATAGTTCCTGGGAGTGAGATAGTCCCCGGCAGTGAATAGTCCCGGCAGTGAGATAGTCCCGGCAGTGAGATAGTTTCCCGGGAGTGAGATAGTTCCGGCAGTGAGATAGTTCCCCGGGAGTGAGATATTTCTGGCAGTGAATAGTTCCGGGAGAGAAAGTCCCCGGCAGTGAGATAGTCCCGTTACTAAGATAGTCCCGGCACTGAGATAGTCCCGGCACGAGATAGTCCCGGGAGAGATAGTCCCGCAGTGAGATAGTCCCGGCAGTGAGATAGTTCCGGCAGTGAATAGTTCCGCATGAGATAGTTCCGGCAGTGAGATAGTCCCGGAGTAGATAGTCCCGGGATGAGATAGTCCCGGCAGTGAGATAGTCCCGTCACAAGATAGTCCCGTCCTAAGATAGTCCCGGCACTAAGATAGTCCCGTCACTAAGATAGTCCCCTCACTAAGATAGTCCCGGGACTAAGATAGTCCCGGGACTAAATATCCCGGCACTAAGATAGTCCCGGCACTAAGATAGTCCCGCCCCTAAGATAGTCCCGGCACTAAGATAGTCCCGGCACTAAGATAGTCCCGGCACTAAGATAGTCCCGTCACTAAGATAGTCCCCCTCACTAAGATAGTCCCGGCACTAAGAAAGTCCCGGCACTAAGATAGTCCCGGCACAAGATATCCCGTCACTAAGATAGTCCCGTCACTAAGAAAAGTCCCGGGACTAAGAAAAGTCCCGTCACTAAGATAGTCCCGGGCACTAAGATAGTCCCGGCCCCTAAGATAGTCCTGGCACTAAGATAGTCCCCGGGACTAAGATAGTCCCGGCACTAAGATAGTCCTGGCACTAAAGATAGTCCCCGGTACTAAGATAGTCCCGGTACTAAGATAGTCCCGGTCACTAAATAGTCCCGGCACTAAGATAGTCCCCGGCACTAAGATAGTTCCCCGGCACTAAGATAGTCCTGGCACTAAGATAGTCCTGGCACTAAGATAGTCCCCGGGACAAAGATAGTCCCCCGGGACTAAGATAGTCCTGGCACAAAAATAGTCCCGTCACTAAGATAGTCCTGGCACTAAGATAGTCCCGTCACTAAGATAGTCCCGGCACTAAAAATAGTCCCGGCACTAAGATAGTTCCTGGCAACTAAGATAGTCCTGGCACAAGATAGTCCGTCACTAAGATAGTCCCGGCACTAAGATAGTCCCGTCACTAAGATAGTCCCGGCACTAAGATAGTCCCGTCACTAAGATAGTCCCGGCACTAAGATAGTCCCGGCACTAAGATAGTCCCGTCACTAAGATAGTCCGTCTCTTAGATAAAGTTAGCGAGTATCTTGTGGTATTATCACGTGATATATATTTTAGCCTTGTTATTGTAGTGATGAGAAAGCGATAAACTCGAATGGGTGCAGTGGATGACGTAACATAAAAGCCACAGTGTAACTTGTTAAGGTCCAAGTTAGAAGCAGAACATCGTACCAGGTTTCAGACCATCAGTATGGGTCATTTCTGGAACTTAAAGGTCACTTCTGTATGCTGGACCTTTCTGT